TTTAATATGTACTATAAGCATATAGTGATTTATAGCAAGATCATATTATAAGATTTTTGTAAATATTTTTGTTTATATGGCTCTCTTCCAATTTGTACAATCAAAGATGCCCGAAGAATTCACAGAAATTTCCTTTAGGAAAACAGATTATAGTGTTACCTGAACAGGAAAGGAACCAGTTCTGTGACACCACGCTCTGCCAGTTTTCTCCTCTGACTTCTTTATCTGCCTCCGTCAGACTCTTCATGGTCTTTAAAGTTTCCGTCCTGGGTTCTCTTCTCCGTGAGCAACCACATCCTCATCCATGGTGGTGGTTTCCGGCTACCTTCCAGCTCCCCGTCTATAATGCACGTCTTTAAAAATTCAGACCCATACATCCAGCTGTCTACTAGAAAGGGCCTCCTCATATCCCATAAGCAAGACAAACCCAACATGTCGACAAGTGAACTCGTATTCTCTCACCACAAACAATCTCATCCTGTTTCCCCAAGACAGAAACCTCAGCATAATCTTTGACCTCCTGCGTGATGGCCAAGCCTCGGTGATTCTACTTCCTCTAGATCTTTTTAGTCTTCCACTCTTTCAGCGCAACAGCCACCATACTTAACCCGTGCTGCCATCTGTTCCTATCTACCGCATCAGCCTCCTGTCAGTCCTCCCTACTTCCAGTCTTGAACTCTTCAGCCGCTCCATGTTGATTTTCCTTGTTTGATCCTGGACCTTCTGTTACAGTGGGAGCTCTGTGATGGCAGGGGCCATGTCTGTCTTGTTTGGTCTCGTGTCTCTCGTACAGGGCTGGGCTGCATAAAGTACTGTCATATGTGCTGAAATAATTAAACATACCTTCTCATACAAAGCTACAGAGTATTCACGATTACATCAATTGATTCCTCTGTACTTATTTTGGCAGCAAGTTTTCTCTCTTAAAAATGATGTTTAAAGCATGCTAAGTGACAGATCAGTATGAGCATTTATATAATTATGAGCCAAAACATACAAATCATGCAAACCAAGAGTTCTTTTCGTGAGAGTCCTTGAATTAGCTTGAGGAACGTCTGTGCATCCTCTGAAATATAAAAAAATTTGCATATTTCACAAAATGTATGTATGTGTGTTTTTTTGAAGAGGGAGTCCGTAGCTTTCCTTACATTCCTAAAAGGTTCATAGCCTCAAAAGAGTAAGAAACAATATGGAAAAATAAGAAAATGATATTGTAGAATCTATATAAACTACTGTAGATAGATAGTTTATGACTGTATTTTAAAAATTTGCTACACCTTACAAAGTAATGGGATTAATAGAAAAGATTTTAACAGAACTAAAAGGTAAAACAAATATATTACTCCGAGAAAAGTAAGCTTTATGATTTACATTAGTAGAGAGTAATTAGGCTTACAGATTGTAAACTTCCATGGAAATACCAAAAGAATATTCTATAGAAAGAAATAAGACAGGTATAATGTGCTTGTATGATTTGAATTGATATTTGACATCTAGTTCCTTAATTTCTCCAACAGTTTTTTGAACATTTACTATCTATTCATCACTGTGCCAGCAACTGGGAATACAGAGATGAATAAGGCATAGTGTTGGCCGGGC